GAAGTTTTTTAAAAATCATAAATACAGATAAATCCAAATACGAATGTGAATGAGAAAGTATGAAAGCATGGAAATTCTGGTACCTACAAAGCACTGTTTTTTCCCTGAAGTACCAAAATTAAATAAGGAAAATCTGATTAATTATCAGTTTACTCCTTTAATGTTGGGATAACTTTTAAAAACAAAAAAGATTTTTTAGAGTTTAAATATTTATTCAACAGATATTTGCTTAATATCTGTATATAAAACACTTATAATTAAGACAATTTCAGCCTTCAAGGTTTTTTGTTTTTTGTTTTTGTTTTTTTTGAGAGGTTTTTCACTATAGGGCACGTGCGCTTACCAGAAAGACAGAAACAGAGAGACAGAAAGCGAGAAATCACCCCCCAGGGGAATGGCCATGCCGCAATCTCTTCTCCTCCATTCTCCTCTCGGGATCTTGGGCATGCATGCACATGTGCCCGGCATGAGTTTAATTAAGCCGCTGGGTCCGGGACTTGAACTGCGGTCGACTACATGGGAGTCCAGCGACATAGCCATTACGCTAACTGCTGGTCCCAGCCTTCAAGTATTTTGAGAAATAAGGCAAGTACTTTATTTCAAGAATCAATAGAACAGTCTTCTTTAAGTTGCAGTTATTTGGAATAATTACTATAGCAAAATATACTATAGTGCTTATAGATTATTTCCAGCTGGGGGAATGTAGAATATTCCCCCCAAAATCTTATTCAGTTGTTAGTGAGACTTTACCAATTAAGAGCTTCTACAATAGAAAATACCATTTTTAAGGATTTTATAATACTAAGATAACTATTTGTCTTCTTATTTTTAAATCTTTAAAAATTGTTAAATCTTTAAAAATTACTCTTTCAGTAACTATTTTTCTGCACTTTTGTGTGTAGACTTTTTTTCAACACACTAGTTTAAAGAAGTGTCACATGGGGCCAGCAGGTGGCGTGGTGGTCAAGGTGTTGGACTCCCATGTGGCAACCGTGGTTTAAGTTTCAGACCTGGCGGCCTCTCTCACTCAGAAGAGAAAAAATAAAAAGAAGTGTCGTGTAACCAATAAAAAATTTTAGTGCTCATTTTGAATGCTCACGGTGAGCCTATCATTTTTGTTCACACTCCCCCTCCAAGAAAGTTAACCACTTACCATTAATGATGTCATTCTTTATCAATTTCCCATCAAGACACCTTTAAATAAGTAGTGGGCAGGGATTTACTTGACCTTTAGTTCAACCACATAGGTTATTTAAGATGTCACTTTAAAAATACTGTTCATTTTTACAGCTATTGAGGGGAAGATGTAGTTTCTCTTTAATATTCCTATTAGGATATGTAACGATGTAAAATATTTGAAATTAAAATGTGATTTTGAAATATTTGAAACATAAAGGATATATACAAGTGAAATACTTATCTGCATGCCTTGTATTTTTCAGTAAATTTAAATAAATATTATGGGTTGGGTTGGGTTAAAGGCAGCTTCCCTGGCTTGTTTTGTTTTTTGAATAGACAAATAGGAAGTAGACTTAAACACAAGGAAATATGAAACAAACAATAAAAAGAAAGGTAACAGGTGTCTTTATTTAATAACTCAAACTATAGAAACCATGGAGCCATTGATGATTCTTTAACTTCTCTTAACCCTCATGTTCATGCACCAAGTTCTCTTAATTTTATCTGTTAAATAATCCATCATAACTATTATCACTGCTATATTTCAGATATATCCTCCTCATTACCCGTATTGTAGTAGTCTCTACACTGGTCACTTTGCATTTTTTCTTTTTTGTCTGTTGCCACCTGAATTTTTATTGTAAAATGCCAGTCTGATCATGTGATTTCTCTTCATGAAAACATTAATTGGCTTTTTGTCATATATAGCATGAAGTCCACATCACCACATGTGCTTTGACTTGTAGTTCTGTTTTTAAGAATGAGAATAGCTTCCTGGCCTTTTAGCCAAAATCAAGTATCTAAGGATAGAAATGTACTACACTTACACTGGTGAGTCCTAAATAAACCCTTCTTCTAATGCCTACATTTCGAATGTCCTTACTCCTCTTCTATCTACTCTTCTGCTTCATTAACTCTTCTTTTCCTCCATTGTTTTTCATGTTCTACAGAATTTTGTTTGCACTTTTATCCCTTTCTGTAGTCTAATGATGTGTTTGCCCCACTGTTCTGTAAAGTCCTTTAGAGAGTAGCAGTTATGACACTATCATGGATCACTAACTGGTTGTTTTCAAGAAAGCATTTGAAATAACATATCATTTACTGAGTTTCTGTTGTATGTGTGACACTAGGTAAAAATTCAACACATATAATTTCTAGGTGATATTATTCTTGTCCCGTTTGACAGAGATGAGACTAAAAGATTTTAATAACATTTCCAGGGCTTTACCATTAAGAAGCTGCTGAGTCGAACCCTAAAGGCTTTTTCTATAATGCACTGAAAAGGTTCACTGTTACCTTTTCTGAAGAGTGCTTCCATTCTAATAGGATAAACCTTAGTTTTAGAAATCATCAAACTGATAGAGGGAAGCTGTGTAAAATAAAAAAATAAAAAGATGATAAGGACCAGCAGATGGGATAATGGTTACGTCGCTAGGGTTCAAGTCTTAAAACTCATGTTGGGCATGTGTGTGCATGTGCCCAAAATCCCAAGAGTAGAATGGAGGAGAAGGGACTGAGGCATGGCCATCCCCCTGGGGGATGATTTCTTGCTTTCTATGTCTCTGTCTTTCCAGCAAGCACATGCACTCTATAGCAAAAATCTCTCCAAAAACAAAACAAAAAAAGAAGACATCTTCACACTCCTACAATAAAACAAGTTGTTAACTACCCTACTTGTAAGTAGTCTGAGTGTATTTATTGAACTTTCGTTTCCATGATTCAAATAATTGGAGAGTGTAAAGATACATATGGTTTTTCTTTTTTCTTTTTTTTTTTTTAAGTTTGCTCTAGGGCTCATGCACTCACATGAGAGAGACAGAGAAAGAGAGAGGGAAAGTGAGAAATTACCTCCCAGAGGGGATGACCATGCCACAATCTTTTCTCACTCTCCTCTCAGCATTTTAGGCATACATATACATGCACCCAGTATGTTTTTTAAGCCGGCAGGTCCAGGAATCAGAACAGTGCAGTGAGCCTTGTGGGATCCAGCCACCTTAACCACTCCACGACCAGCTGACCCAATACATACGTTTTAAATAACTTTATTGACATAATTGATGTGCAACAAATTGCACATGCTTAAAATGTGCAGTTTGGTGGGGAACCAGCATTTAGCGTAATGGGTATGTCACTGGACTCCCACGTAGTCGACCGCGGTTCATATCCCGGACCCGGTGGCTTAAAACTCATGCCGGCTGCTTGTGCGTGCATGCCCAAGATCCCGAGAGGAGAATGGAGGAGAAGGGATTGCGGCGTGACCATCCCCCCTGGGGGATGATTTCTAGCTTTCTGTCTCTATGTCTCTCTCTGTCTGGCGAGCGCACGCACCCTATAGTGAAAAAACCTCTCCAAAAAAAAAGAAAAAGAAAAAAAAATGTGCAGTTCGGTATGTTTTGACATATGTATGTATGCAACCTTGAAGTCATTCCCACAATCAAGGTAATTAACATATTCATCCATCATCCTTCAAACTTTCTCATCCCTTACATCACTATTTTTAGGCAACCAGTAATCTGCTTTCTTTCATTATAGATTATTTTACATGTTCTTGAGTTTCAGAAAAATAGAATCACAGTTTTTGCTCTTTGGGTCTGGCTTCTCTCAGCAAAATTGAGAATCACCCACATTGTTACATGTATTAGTAGTCATTCTAAGGGCACATGTTTTGACTTATATTTGTTTTTGTTTTTGTTTGAGAGGTTTTTGCTATAGGGCACATGTGCTTGCCAGAAAAACAGAGACAGAGGGACAGAAAGCGAGAAATCACCCCTCACAGGGGGATGGCCACATGGCAATCCCTTCTCCTCCATTCACCTCTCGGGATCTTGGGCATGTACTCACATGCGCCTAGCATGAATTTAAGCCACCGACCGGGTCTGGGACTTGAACCGTAGTCAACTACGTGGGAGTCCAGCGACATAGCCATTATGCCATCTGCTGATCCCTGAATTACATTTGTTATAGAAAGTAAATTAGTATTTTCTTTTCCCTTTATTGTGTCTTAGACTTTAGAAAAGGTTTAGATGGGACCAAAAATTCTGTTGAGACTAAAGTTCCTTCTGAGGTTTGTTTTGATATACTATGTATAATTCTTTAATATTCCAATGGAAATATAAAATCTTACATTAGCTTCTGCAAATAATTTAAGTACATTTTTATTTTCAACAAGTTGTCTTTTTGTACACTAAGAGTCTCATGTAAAAATCATGCAGTTAGGAGCCAGCAGGTGGTGTGGCGGTTAAGGCCCTAGACACTCCCACATGACTGACCAGTTTTGAGTTCTGGATCTGGTGGCTTGCTTTCTCACTTTTACCCCCTCTCTCTGTGTCTCTCTCTCTGGTCACATTAAAATGAATCGATGAATAAATAAAATTGAATAAATAATTCTTTTTAAAAAAATCATGCAGTTAAATGCATTTCACTCACTTTCGGAGAATAATACTGTACTTCTGAATACAAGCTTCTTCCCCTTCTAGTATTAGGGAAACTTTCTTCTGCTTGGTCTTACATGCGAAGTGGATATCTCTGAAGTGGTTATCTCAGAACTTCATAGTAGCATTAGCCATAGATATTAAGTAGTAAATGCTAACCAGTCAATATGATTTGGATGACTTATGTTAACACTATCTAGGAGCGCAATTTGAATGGGAAGAAAAGGTGTCTCTCAATTACCTGGTCTTGGATAATTACATTTCAACCTTGTTAGTAATGTTGGGAGGAGGGAAAATTTTCATTTTAGACTGCTGTTTTTAAAAAATAAAATAATTATTGCCATTCTAATCTGACTGCCCACACTTTTTTTTTTTTTTTAACTTTCAGGTAGTTATAACCCATACATAGAGATAATCGAACAACCCAGACAGAGGGGAATGCGTTTTAGATACAAATGTGAAGGACGATCAGCAGGTAGCATTCCTGGGGAGCACAGCACAGAAAACAACCGAACATATCCATCTATCCAGGTAATGGACCCTCCTTTGTCTGCCTCATTTAGTTGCTTCATATTTTAGCTACTGCAATTATTGGATCATCAGAAAAGTCATCATATATTTTTCTGTGCAAAATGTGTCAGGACTTTTCAGACAACCCAATATATTAAAGCAACAGTTTAAGTCAATTACATACTCTTTTCCCCTGTTTTTTCTTTTCAATTGATTTTTATTAGATAGATCCCTAGAGAAATTTCTTAAGTAAAATATGGAGTCTTCTCCACTGCAGATAGTTACATATTGTGGATTTATCTGAGCAGAGTGACTCACAGTGCTTAGTGAGCCTGCGCAGCTTTTGGATCGTGATTCTTTTCATGGAACACAAGTTAATGAGGAACTGTTCCCTGCTTACAGAAGTGAGCAAAACTATTCTGTAGATTAAACACAGATTTGAGAACTCAAAAGTCTTCCTGCTATCACTTGTTTAGGGGCCATGGAAAAGAAGAATTTTTTTTTTTCCTTTTTTTTCTTACCTTTATTACCTTTCTCTGATCCTCAGGATCATTGGCTAAATTGAAATACTACAACTTTCCAAATACAGTATTTTTATATTAGCATACATTTTGAAAGTAGTTTTTGATTGAAAATGACTTAAGTAAATGTACTTATTAAATTTACCATATTTAGGGACCAGCAGTTAGCATAATGGCTATGTCACTGGACTCCCACGTAGTCCACCACGGTTCGAGTCCCGGACCCAATGGCTTAAAACTCATGCCAGGTGCGTGTGCGTGCATGCGTGCGTGCCCAAGATCCCGAGAGGAGAATGGAGGAGAAGGGATTGCAGCATGGCCATCCCCCCTGCGGGGTGATTTCTTGCTTTCTGTCTCTGTCTGGGGAGCACATACGCCCTATAGCAAAAAAATAAATTAAAAAAAAAAAAACACTCTCCAAAAAAAATAATTTTACCATATTTATATTTTATAACTATACTTCATTTGACTTTTATGAATTTTTTATCCTTTAAACCCCAATTAAAAACTTTAATGGCAAAGTAGATTTTGAAAAATGGTACTTAATCTTTTTTTTTTTAAACTTTATTTTACTTACTTATTTTAATTTGACCAGAGAGGGACAGAGGCAGAGTGAGTGAGTGAGAGAGAGAGAGAAAGAGAGAGAGAGAAAGAGAGAAAGCAAGCCGCCAGGTTCGGACTCAAACCATGGTCAGCCGTGTGGGAGTCCAGTGCCCTTAACCACCAAGCCACCCACTGGCCCCCAAAAATGGTACTTAATCTTTCATTAAGAGATCTGAATTCACTGCTTTGTAAACCAGATTATTTACAAAATGTATTTGATTGAACTTAAAAAGATTTACTAAATTACAGAATAAGCCACTGGCAAATTATGTATTGAATTCCAAATTACTATTTTTATCACTTTTTGGCAGCAATATAGTTTTGGGTTATCTAAGTCCCTTTATTAAATGTTAATTAGGGTGAGATGCTAACAAAAAAGGAAATAAGAAAATACTGTTTTTCCAATCCTTTGGGTCATTTTTAACTTCTTCACAATGTAACTTAAATCTATACATCTCTAAAATATTTCTAAGCTCTGTATCCTTACCATTCCAAGAGTTTCTAAACACTTTACAGCTTGATTTCTACATTAGCTTATTTTATTCCTTTGAGTCATTACCTTCTCTCTCATCCAGTAAACCAATAAATACTTACTGGTATGGTTCAAACTATGTTTAAATTAAAATTTATAGGGACCAGCAGTTAGCGTATGGCTATGTTGCTGGACTCCCATGTAGTCGACCGCAGTTTGAGTCCCAGACCCGGTGGCTTAAACTCACGCCCCGAGAGAAGAATGGAGGAGAAGGGATTGCGGCGTGACCATCCCCCTGTGGGGTGATTTCTCGCCTTCTGTCTCTCTGTCTCTCTCTGTCTGTCTGGCGAGTGCATGCACCCTATAGCAAAAACATCTCAAAAAAAATTATGAATTTTAGTGTCCTCTACTTGGGAAGCCACCTATTCTCTTATAAAGAAACCACTTCACTCCTTTATAATATACTGGCTTTTCTACTTCCTGCTTTATTCTTACAAATTTGCTAGCTTCTGAACTAAATGTTATTTTATCCCCATCTCTGAGTGTTCTCCTTCCTCTCCCACCCTAAATTCTCCTCTATTCTCAGTGCTTCAGATGTACTTTCTGTGTGACACTTAGATCTTGTTACACTCAACCTCGACTGTGCAGTGAACAGTTGGGTTATACTTTAACCAATTATCAAATACTTTTGCAAAATGAAATGTCACATATTAAGTAAGACAATCTTATTTCTTTACTGTGTCTTCCAGTGTGGCTTACTTGCAAGGGGTGTTTATGATATAACGGTGCATCTGTGAGCAGGCATTCAGTGACTTAAAATAAATATTTATGTGCTATGATAAAATTTGGTTTAATTTTACATGTTTTAAAAGGAAAATAAGCCAAATCAGATGATATTACCAATTAAAATTAGGGCAGAATGTAATATGTCAGGGAACTAAGAGGTGAGTTCTTTCCTACTGGTGTTCTCTGGAAAGTTTTATCTTAACTGCAGTTAAAGTCAGTTGGACTTTATCCAGTGCTAACTACATTATATAAGTTGTACTCTAATTTAGGAGATAAGTTCTTGAGGAGTATATTTTTGGATCATATGTTTAATTTCCCCTTTTTTCAGATTGCAAACTATTATGGAAAAGGAAAAGTGAGAATTACATTAGTAACAAAGAATGACCCATATAAACCTCATCCTCATGATTTAGTTGGAAAAGATTGCAGAGATGGCTACTATGAAGCAGAATTTGTACAAGAACACAGACCTTTGTTGTAAGTACAAGTCATGGGCATCATCAGGAATAGGATAAGCATGGCATGCTCTGTTTCCTGTCCAGGATCATCTGTTACATTCTAGCAGAATAAATAAATTTGTCCTTCTATTTCTATTTACTATATATAGTATGCATTTAAATTTTCTCACCATTTGCATTAGAACTACCTTTTACTCTTCATTAGTAGATCCAGCTCATGATGGTTACCAAGAATACTATTTTGTTAGACAGGGTGTCAATAAGCTGCAATCCTCTTGCCTCTGCCTCCCAAGCAGATGGGAATACAGGCACAAGCGACTGCATCCAGCTTTTAGAGTAGGCTAAGAATCAAACCCTGGCCTCCCATGCAGATTCAGCCTACCTGATACACTACAGTAGCTGAACCAGGAATTCTTCTTTATTGTTACTGAAAGTAAATGTAAGCTTATTTTATGCTATTATTTTTCTTTCTTAGAGTAATTAATGAAAAACATTTTACACTTTCTATTTATAGTTAACTTAAAGACTGATAGATATGAGCAAATCAAATGGAAAACTCTAGAATTATTACTCAGAAAGGGGAAGATTATTAATTAATATACAATAGAAGTTCCAAAATTTAAAAAATACATATTATGGGGGCTGGCATGTAGCATGGTGGGTAAGCACTGGATTCCTATGTGGCTGACCGTGGTTTGAGTCCCAGACCCGGAAGCTAGAGATTCATGCCAGATGAGTCTGCATGCACGCCCAAAATCCTAAGAAGAGGAAGGAAGACAAGGGACTGTGGCATGGACATCCCCCTTGGAGGGTATTTTCTCACTTTCCCTTTCTCTGTCTCCCCGGCAAGCACACATGCACTTTAGCAAAAATCTAAAAAAAAAAGTAAACCTTCATCTTGATGAAACTGCCAGAAATTGGGCTTATTCTTCATGTTATGAGAACATGAATTAATAAAAATCTTTCTGGTAGGCAGTTCAACAACTAAGTAGCAAAATCCTAAAAGTATGAATACCTTTTTAAGCCAACAATTCTACTTCTAAGAATTGAACCTCAGGAATTAAGCATGTTCAAACATTTAGCTGTAATGTTTATTGCAGCTTTGTTTGTATTGGCTAAAAGTTAGAAGCAATTCATATCATAAAGGACTAAGTTAAATAAACTAATATATCTGTGCAGTATACTCTTGTATAGCCTTAAAAATAGTGTTGTAAATATGTCTGTTGGTAAGTAAAGATATTCAGTATGTTAGATAAATAAAATGGGCTTTAAAACAGAATATGTGGGGGCTGGCAGGTGGTATGGTGATTAAGGGTGTTAGACTCCCACATGGCCAACCGCAGTTCAAGTCCTGGACCTGGCGGCTGGCTTTCTCACTTTCTCTTTCTCTCTCCTTCTCACTCTCACTCTCACTCTGTCCCTCTCTGGTCAAATTAAAATGAATAAATAAAGTTAAATTTAAAAACAACAACAACCAAAGAAAATAGAACATATGAAGAAGAATCTTATTTTTGTTTTAAAAAGCTTATTCCTATACATGTACTAAAGTAATAATAGTAGTTGTCTCTGGGTAGATAGGATTTTAGGATTTTATGCTTTTCTTTTAACTTATATTTATTTCATAATTAACTTTTATAATGATAATATATTGCTTTGGGGATAAAATATAACTAATTATAACAGAATTAATCACCTTATATATTACTAATAACCATTTAGAAAAAATACCTTTGAAATGTTCCTCCTAAAGTAATAACACAAAGTACCTAGGAATATGTATTTGGCAAGAAGTATTTCCTGCCTATATCACTTGACCTCCAATAGCATTTTACACTGTTGACCACTCCTTTTGTGAAACATTTTCATTCCTTGATTTCTTTGAGAACAGACTTCTTTTTATTTTATACTTTACTGGATATTCTTCTTCCTTCTTTCTTAATTGTAGGCATTTAACTTTTTTGGTCACCTAAAATTAAAGGTAAAATTTTGAATTGTTATTAACCCAGTAATGCCGTTATGGCTATTCTCAAAGATCATGTAAAGGACCACACATTGTATTAGCATTATATTTACCATCAATAATATTTAACATGAATAATATTTAACATGAAGCATTTTGGGCAGGAAACCTACAGAGATGATGTTATATCATTCTCAGGATACACCTCTGGGAGACATGTAATACTGTTTTTTTCTATTGGTGATATTAAGTAGCATTCTGTACTAAACAACTTTCCCTTCTTCTTTCCCATTTAGAATATATTGCTATGGACTTGTGAATTCTTATATTTAATGTGTTATAGTCCATTATTGGTATTATTTTGATTTTCAAATCGACCTAAGACCCTTGAAGGGGCTTTCAAAATCTCCTGTGTCTTTATGATATGTTCCTATCTTTTCTTTAACTTTTATTTTTGAGAGATTTTTGCCTTAGAGCATATGTACTCATCAGAGAGAGAGAGACAGTGACAGTGAGAGGGAAAGTGAGAAATCACCCCCCGGGGGATAACCATGACTGCAATCCCTTCTCCATACTCCCCCCAGGATCATGGATGCACACACATGCACACCTGGCATGAGTTTCAAGCCACCAATTCTGGGACTCAAACCATGATCAGCCATGTGGGAGTCCAGTGACATAACCACTATGCCATCTGCTTGCCCCTGTTCCCATATTTTCTTTGAGCACTTCTTTATTTTCAGACAAAACAAAGTGTTCAAGACTTGTACTTTCCTTTTCCCAGCCCTTAAGTCATTAATTTTTCTCGAAAATCCCCAGTTTCTCTCTGGAGAATGAGATTTAGTCTAATTGCCTTCTTGATTGTCTCAGTTGTCTCAGTAATAATTCAAACAGATTATGCCCCAAACCATAAGGGGTTATCATACCCCTTTCCTCTCAGAATTGGTCTTCTTATAGTGTATTTTGTTGTAACGGTTGCTGTAAGGGAAAGCACTAAACATAATTGTTATCCCTGACACCCATCACATAGGTGTACACAGTGAATCCACTACTGAGTACCTCCTAAATAGCTCTTGAGTCTGTCCATTCAGTGACATTCGTCACTACCACACTACTGCTATAGTCTAAATTGAGCTGGTAGAAGAGCACCATGACTGGTCTTATATAAACTCTTTTAGTACCTCTTGCCCTCAATCTTTCTCCACTTTAGCCAGAGTGATCTTTTAATATATAAATCAAATTTAAGTCATGCCTCCCCTGCCCCCCAAACATTTTGATGACTTTATTGGCTCTTGGAGTAAGTACAGCATTCCTTATATGATCTACAAGGCCCACGTAGCCTGCCTGTATTTCTAGCCCTTTACTACTGTGCTTCCCTTGATTTCTACACTCTAGTCAGAAAAGCCTTTCTTTGATTTTTTGCTGCCGACAGTGCTTTTCTATAGTGGCCTTTGTATGATTGGTTACCTTGGCCTGAAAGTCTTTCCTCTCCTCTTCCCCATTCTTTCCAGTCATATTAAGGATTACTTCCTATAGGAAGCCTGTCTGTCCTTCCTGATTGAATTGATCGACTCTCTCCCACCATAAGGTCCCATAACATCATGTATATCTCTTCTTCATAAAATCTAAACCTGTCATTAGTTTAGCACTTTGTTGTGTGTGAGATTATATATTTAGTATTTATCTGTTTCAATACACCAGAAGTTAGCACACTTTTTCTGTTAAGGGCTAGATAGTAAATATTAGCCATTGCAGGCCATTTGATCTCTTGTTAACTACTCATTTCTGCTCTTACAACATGAAAGCAGCCATAAACCTTGAAAAATCAGTTTGGTTTTGTTCCAATAAAATTTTATTTACAAAAACAAGCAGCATGCTTGATTTGGTCCATGGGTTATAGTTTTGCCAACCCTTGTACTAGACGTAAGCTCCATTTGGGAAGGGATTGTATAACCTGTTACTTTCCAGGATTTTTCACTACATAACTGGAACCCCAAATCTAATTAAATGGATATAGGTGCATGAGTGAATGAATAATTGATTCAAATAATTACTTGGTGTTTCTTCATGTCCAAATTTCAAAAAATCCCCACTACTTCACCTATTTTGTGAATAGCAGTCAAGTAGAATTATCCAGATGAAACAAAACCAGGTAGTGTATAAATATAGAAATCTGTTTTCAAAGAAAAAGTAAGGGCCAACCTAAGGATCTTTCAAAGAAGTGGCATGTTTTTGAGGAAAAGGACTGTAATTGTAGTATTTCAAGAGAGATTAAGAATTTGATATTTTCTAGTTATTGGAGGTAGAGAAAGGAAATATCAAAATCCCAAGTGTGATGAATGTGAAGAGCAAGAACTTAGTAGCATTAACGTGAAGAGAGGCAAACAAGGCAGACTACAGTTGCAAGTGCGTTGTGAAGTTTGAACAAATAGTAATGTTATTATAATTGAGTTTTGCTTCCTTATTCACACCCACCCAACTTCAATGATGTCATGGTTTTTCCATGTGGGAACGAATATGACAGGCGGTGGTGGGGGAGTTCCCCCCACCTTCATCTGCACTACACATATGCAAATCAGTAATATTTGTAGCTGTTGAGAAGTTTTCCATAAATGATATTTTGAAACTTTTGTTAGTATTTAAACCACTTTCTAATAAAAAAAAAAAACTTCAGTACTCTCTTATGGTGAATAATTATTATAACTTCATATAGTATGGCACAAAACATAGTCTACTGCTACTAACATTGAAGTCAGGGCTCAAAAATGAAATGTCTATGGGACTAGGCAGGCAGCATAAGTGAGCAAAGTGGGTCAGGGAGAGGGTCACTAGCAGGCACGGTAGCAGGCTGGAGAGCCCTGCGTAGATAGGGCTGTAGATGCTCGGTCTCAGCCAGCTGTTTCCATGCCAGCCTAGTATTGCCAAACCTTCAGTATGTTCAAGATAACCCAGAAATTGCTACACAGTTCCCTGATTTTTAGATGTTGGTGACCTATACAAAAAAATTTTTAATGTAGGCAATACTCTTACAAAGTATGCCTGAGACATTCTTTACAGCTTCTGCCTTACATTATCAAATATACAGATTTTATTGATTTGATAATGAATCTGGAAGATGAATTCTAGATTCTAGGTGTTACTTCTCTATTATTCTTTATTTCCTTTGGTATATTTGACATAGGCATGTTAGTAAGATAAAATTGTAAAATACTGTATATAAAAATAATTATGTGTGTGTGTGTGTATTTAAGTTTTCTTAGAAATATAACCCCACTTTTTTAAGTGTATTTCTTTCATTAGAGAGGGGACAAGGAGAGAAATAGGAACCCGCAACAAGGACTTCTCACACTGTAGTCTCCTTCCCCGGGACTCTGGCTCTTCAGGGTCTGGACCACATGCACTCCCAGCATGTTTCAGGTCACCCTGGGATCTGAACTCTCAGTGGTCCCATGTGGCTTCTGGCACTGAAGTTCAGTATACCACCAAGGCTGGGGCCTATCCCATTCCCCCCACCCTTTTTTTTTTTAAGTTTATTTATTTCATGACTTTGGGAGACAGAGAGAGATGGCACCCCATTGAGGTTAGAAACCACATGCCACCCACCCTCAGCTAGCCCTGAATAATGGGCACCTGGATACCTTGTGTACTCAGGGAGGTCTCTGAATGTGAAACTGGAACCTTCCCATTGGGTCAGCTTCATAGAACATGTTTTACTGCTGCGTTACTGTCTGGCTCCCAATCCCACTTTTATACCCTTATAGGTAGTAGAAATACATTCCATTCTTTAGTATCTCCATCTGATAGCATGCAGACTTTTCAGTGTTGGGTCTATGCTTGATTTCTGCAGTATTCCTTGTGCTTAATATAATACAGTTCTGAAAGTTCTATTTTTTATTCTAGTTTTCAAAACTTGGGTATTCGATGCGTAAAGAAAAAAGAAGTAAAAGAAGCTGTTATTTCAAGAATAAGGGCAGGAATTAATCCTTTCAAAGGTAAATACATTTGACATAATAACATTTATTACTTGGATATTGACCTACCGTGTAAGTAAGTAATTTCTATTTATGTCTTTTATCTGTGTTTTAAAAGTTATTTTAGGGGTCAGCAGGTTGTAGAGTGGTTAAGGCACTAGATTCCCATATGGCCAATTGTGGTTTGAGTCCCAGATCTGATGGCTTACAAATCACATTGGGCACGTGTGTGTGTGTGTGTGTGTGTATGTGGTGTGTGTGTGTGCACCCAAAATTCCAGGAGGAGAATAGAGGAAAAAGGATTGCAGAGAAGGGATTGCTGGCATCCTATACTTAACTGTAATCTCCAATCTAAAGTCTTATGTAGCTCCTTAAATATTATAACTCAGGAATTAAATGCCTATAAGTACTATCTTCCCTGAGAGGTTTTTAACTTTCCCTCTCACTGTCTCTCTCTGTCTCTCTCCAGTGAGTGTACACACCCTGTAGCAAAAACCTTAAAAAAAAAAAAAAAGTTATTTTAAGTTCTGTGTTTATATGAGGACCGAAGTATATTTTTAAAATAATCTTATACAGACAAGGCTTTCTGGTATCAATTGGGCCTGGTCATGGCATAGTCCTTTTTCCTGTTTCCCCTCCCATAAAGATTTTAGGCATGCATACACACATACCAGCATGGTTTTTTTTTTGAATAATTACTTTTTTATTTAACTTCATTTATTTATTCATTTATTCTTCATTTGAGCAGAGAAAGACACAGACAGAGATAAAGAGAGGGAAACTGAGAAAGTAAGCCACCAGGCCCAGGGCTCGAACCGTGCGGTCGGCCATGTGGGAATGTCTAGCACCTTAGCCACCATGCCACCTGCTGGTCCCATTTTTTTTTTTTTTTAATTTGCTGTAGAGTACGTGTGCTTGCCGGGGGCGGGGGGGCGGGGGAATGAAGGAAAGGGGGAGAGAGAAAGAACCCCCTAGGATAATGGCCACACCACAATCCTTTCTCCATTTTCTCCTTGGGATTTTGGGCATACATAGACACATTCACTCACTCACTCACACACTCCTGGCATGTGTTTCAAGCCACTGGATCTGGGGCTCAAACTGCTCAGTTGACCCTCTGGAATCCAACTGCCTTAACCACCATGCCACTGGCTGGTCCCTCCAGAGTTTTTTTCAAGCCTCTAGGGCCAGGATTTGAACATATGGAATCTGAATCCCTATGTATAGCACTTAACTGTTGTACTACAGAGCTGACCTAGTCATTTTTTGTTTCTTTGGTTGTTTTTTAAAGGAGATTTTTTTTTTTTTTTTTTTTTTTTTTTTGTTTTTATAGGGTGCATGCACTCACCGGAAAGATAAAAAGTGAGAAATCACACCCCCAGGGGGGATGGCCAAGTCACAGTCCCTTCTCCACTCTCTCCTAGGGATCTGGGCACACACACACACACACACACACACACACGTGCCTGGCATGCATTTTAAGCCACTGAGTCCGGGACTCGAACTGTGGTTGACTACATGGGAGTCCAGTGATATAACCATTAATTCACCTGCTGGTCCCCTCCCAGTCATTGTTTCCTATAAGAAAGCCTTCTCAGAGTGTTCTAATTCTCCTTGAATGCACCTGTCTTTAATGCCACTTCCTGCAGAGAATATGCACTCCTCTTCCTGAATGTTGAATAGACCCTGTGGTTATAAGGTATTGGAATGCATTTAACTTAAGGACATTTCTACAGTGAAACTTAATTCCATTGCAGAAGAAGTATAGAAATTGTAGAAGCCACCTAAAATATTTCCATAGTATTTATGGTTTATACTTCCTGTTTAGTGGATCTTCTTGAGGAGGGGATTTTTTTAGGCACTTATACTTGTGTTTGATACGGTACCTGGTACTTATAAGCACACTGTGTTGGTCAGATAGATAAAGGACTCCTAAGCTAGATGCTGGCACCCTATATTTACTGTGGTCTCCATTTACTGTAGTCTTCTGCAGCTTCGTAAATATCATAACTCAGGAATGAAATGCCTATATAATTTTCAAAGAATAGATTTTTCTTGTCATATCTAAGATATCCTTGGCCAGTACCGTAACTTAGTGGTTATGAGAGCTGGATTCCACATGGTTGAACATGTTCAAATCCCAGCCTTGGTGGCTTTAAAGACATGCCCAATGCATGTATATGTATATCCAAAGTCCCCACAGGATGGATAAATGGAGAATTGTCATTTTAGGAATGTAAACATAATGTCCATCATTTTTAACCTGGACCCTTGCTAATAACCTTTAAACATCTGCCTTTGTTTTTTATCTCTATCCAAGCAGGTTATGTACTATACATCCAAAAAAGATCCTAAAATGTGATCGTTTCAGAATTCTCCTCCTCTACCTTTAGTTGCTCCAAATCAATTCTGCAGTGTTTCTCAATTTGAACATGTGTAAGAATCCCTTAATATATGTTTAAAAAGTAGATTCCAGGGCACGCTTCTGCTGATCGAAATGTCTAGTATGTGGCCTAGGAATCTGTATCTTAGCACCAATCTAGCTCAGTGTTTAACTTTGGCTATTACTCAAGGTAAGAAATTTTCTTGGGCTGGCAGGTAGCATGGAGGTTAAGGGCACTGGACTCCCACACAACGGTTCAAGTCCTGGGCCTGGAGGCTTTCTTGCTTGCTTGCTTGCTTGCTCTCTCTCTCTCTCTCTCTCTTTTTGTCTTTCTTCCTTTCTCCCTTCTTCTGTCCCTCCCTCTCTGGTCAAATTAAGATGAATAAATGGATAAATAAAATTAAATAAAATGAAAAAGAAAATTTCTTAGCCCAATACATACATATATATACTCTCTATTCCATTCTTTTTCATTTCTTTCTATTAATACTCTGTTTCTTCCCTCCCTCCTTTTAAAAATCTTTGTCCTATCTAGATGATTCTGTTGCAGATATTCTCTGGACCACACTTTGAGAACCCGAACTACTTGCAGAGTTCAAATTCTTGACCATGGCTCAAAAGCCATAGTGTTATCCTTGGTTTCCATTCCAGTGTTTATTCTTCCTCTCAACGTCCTCCCTCTCCTCCTGTTGCTGAGTAGACATGTATGCTTCATTAGTACCTAACTACTGATTGTGCGTGGGAGTGTCCTGATTGCCCTTTGAAATTGACAGGCACTGATATCTTGAATTCTAAATTTATAATGCTGTAAAATTGATTTTGAAGCGTTAAACCTGCTATTGCCTATATAATGGTGCCAGTAGACTATGATGCTATGATAAAGGGGTTAGTATTATAACATTTTGAACTTCTAGTTGTACAAATGTGTACTTGTAGATTCTTCCTGATATAAATTTTAAAGTGCTGATACTGGGACTGGCAGGTGGCATGGTGGTTGAGGTATTGGACTCCCACATGGCTGACTATGGTTCAAGTCTCAGACCTGGTGGCTTGCTTTCTCACTTTCCCTCTCTCTCTCTCTCTTGGTATCTCTTTGTGATAAAATTAAAATAAACAAATAAGTAAATAAATAAGTAAAATTAAATAATTCTTTAAAAAAAGAATGCTGATACTGGCATAATTTTATAAGTCATGATAGCTACTAAGATAGTGTCATTAAATAAAAATGATATTTGTTGATTTTGTTAGTTATTGCCTAAGACTAAGGAATTGAGGTTTAACTGTTTTCAAATTTAGGATTTCAAATTTTATTTATTTATTTTTTAGGTTTTTGCCATAGATCATGTGCACTTGCCTGAGAGACAGAGAGAGGGAATGTGAGAAATCATTCCCCAAGGGGAATGGCCATACCATAATCCAGTCTCGTCTGTGCTCCTTTCAGGGTTTTGAGGGGTGGGGTACACACACACATGCTCGGCATGATTTTCAAGTCACCTGATCCAGGATTCAAAGCACAGTCACTCATGTGGGAGTTCAGCACCTTAACTACCACACCACCTGCTGGCCCCTCAAATTTTAATATTTTATAAAATAAAAGTTTCATGTTATGGGCCAGTTTTGTAGCCTAGTAATTAAGGGAGCTAGATCATGGCTAGCTAAGCAGTTTGAATCCTGGCCCTGGTGGCTCGGAAAACACTCCAGATGAGTATGAGTGCCCCAAATCCCAACAAGATAGAGAAATGAGTCAGAAGGGATTAGGCATGACCACACTCCACTGTGAGATACTTTTTCCTTTTTTCTCTTTGTTTCTGTCTCTGGTGAGTGCATGTGCCCTCTGACTTATAACCCACCCTCCCCTCCCCACCAATATACAGATTATTTAATTAGTATTTCACTTTTTAAAAATATAGCTTTATTATTTATTTACTTACTTACTTACTTACTTATTTATTTATTTAGTATGAGCAAGAGAGAGAAGTGTCTCTGGACACAAACCCAGAACCTTCCCACATGGATCAGCCTCACAGAATGTTGTGTTTTACCGCTGTGTCACCATTCAACCCCATATGTTTGTTGTGATTTAATGGTACAGTGTACTTTATTTTCTGAAAGGCAATAATATTTTGTTTTATAACTGGGCTTTTTTTTCAGATATCAATTTATAAACTGTCATTATACTATATTTTGTCAGGAGTTTTGTTTTTGTTTTTGCCATAGGGCACGTGTGCTCACAGAGAGAGAGGGGGAGAGATATTGAGAGGATGAAAAATAATCCTCCAGTGTGATGACCACGCTGTAATCCCTTCTCCTTTATTCCCCCCTTGGGATTTTGGGCAGGCATACATAAGCGCCCAGTGTGATTTTTCAAGCCTCCAGTCCAGGATTTGGATTGTAGTCAGCCAATGTGGGAGTCCATTGCCTTGACACCGTGCCACGTCTCAACCCCATTGTCATGGGTTTTTATATATTTTTTCAGAACTGCAAAATTTTCCTGCTATTGGATTTTGATTTTTTAAGAGTTATTTTATTTTATTCATTGTCATTATTTTATTAATTAATTTATTTTATTGAAGTTGACCAGAGAGAGAAGGAAAGTGAGAAGGCAAGCTGCCAAGTCTGGGACTCGAACCATGGTCAGCCATGTTGGAGTCCAGATACCTTAACCATCATGCCACCTGTTGGCCCTGGATTTTAATTTTTTTGAAGCAAACTTAATTTGAACATAAAGTGTCTTATGAAAACTAGCTATCTCACATCATGTAGTATATTTTTGGTATCTCATCCCTAATGTTGAGCTAAATTTTAGTGGATGTTCCTGCATATGTCATTTTTATTTTTATTTATTTATTTATTTTTAAATAACTTAAAAAATATTTTATTTATTATTATTATTTTCCAGTTTGATCAGAGAGAGACAGAGAAAGAGAGGGAAAGGGAGAGAACAAACCACCAGGTCCAGGACTCGAACCACGGTTGGCCATGTGGGGGTCTAGCACCTTTAACCACCATGCCACCTGCCAGCCCCTGTCATTTTTATTTATAGCATGTAAATTTTTTTAATACGGTTCAATTTTAATTTTTTTAAAGAATTAATTTTACTTAATTCCATTCGTTGTTGTTGTTATATTATTTTAAATTGACCAGAGAGAGAGAAAGCAAGTTGCCAGGCCTAGGACTTGAACAACTCCATGTGGGAGTACAACACCTTAACTGCCATACCACCTGTGGGTCCCTAGAGTTCAATTTTTTTTAAATAATTATTTTGGGGACCAGCAGTTAACATAAGGGCTAGGTCACTGGGTTCCCATGTAGCCTACCGCGCCGAATCCGGTGGCTTAAACTCACGCTGGGTGGTGTGCGTGAGTGCCCAAGATCCCGAGAGGAGAAAAGGAGGAGAAGGGATTGCGGCGTGGCCATCTCCCTGGGGGGTGATTTCTTGCTTTTTCTCTCTCTGTCTCTCTCTGTATTTCTGGCAAGTGCTCGCGCCCTATAGCAAAAACCTCTCCCCCCCCCAGAAAAAAAGAATTGTTTTGGGCCAGCAGGTGGCATGGTGGTTAAAGGGGCTGGATTTCCACATGGCCGACAACTGTTTGAGTCCTGGACATGGCAGCTTGCTTTCTTGCTTTCCCTTTCTTTCTCTCTCTGTCTCTCTGTTCAAATTAAAAAATAATGATAACAAATGGAATTAAATAAATAATTCTTTTAAAATTATTTTATTTAACTTTATACATTTATTTATTTTAATTTGACCAGAGAGGAGGAACAGAGCCAGAGAAGGAGAGGAAGAGAGAGAGAGAGAGAGAGAGAAAATGAGAAAGCAAGCCACCAGGTCCAGGATTCTAACTCCAATAGACCATGTGGAAGTCCAGCCCTTAGCTACCACGCCACCTGCTGGCCCCTCAATTTTCTTTTTGAGAGATTTTTTGCTATAGGTCATGTGTACTCACTAGAGAGACAGAAAACAAGAAATAGAGTACATATTTGTTGAATTAATTAATGAATGCCTAATCCCTATTGTATATATCCAGCAACCTTTTTTTAAAAAAATTTGGTAGAGGCCTGGGCACTTGCCAGTGGGGGTGGGGAAGAGAGAAAACCCATGGTATGGGAGTGAATATGGTCATTCCTCAGTCTCTTCTCCATCTCTTCTTTCAGAATTTTGGACATGCATACACATGCACCAGGTGTGTTTTTCAAGCTATCAAATCAGTACTCAAATCATGTAGTCAGCAGCTATGTGCCTTAACCACCAGGCCACCAGCTGGCACCACAGCCATTTTTTAAACAATAGATTTGTTAATGATATCAGTTTGGGATTCTGCTCGGGAACTCCAGTGACTGGGGTAGTTACTTCATGAAAATGGCTGTAATTTTTCAGATATTGTTAAGATAGTGATTACTTAATGATAATGACAAAAGACATGCTTGAGATTGTGTACATCTATTTTTGTTAGTACAGATCTGAATGCTTGTCAAGGTTATTAGATTAGTGGGCAGGGAGGAGGACCTAGCAGGATATTAGTTGTATGTGACTCTTCTGCATTCTTAAGAAAAATGTATTATTCAGTCCCTGAACAACAGCTGCTTGATATTGAAGATTGTGACCTCAATGTGGTGAGACTATGTTTTCAAGTTTTCCTCCTGGATGAGCATGGTAATTTGACAACTGCTCTTCCTCCTGTCATCTCTAACCCAATTTATGACAACCGTAAGTACTTTATTTTCTTGTATATATAGTTATAACTTGGTTTTCTTAATATTTTAATTTTTAAAGGATTTTGGTAATTAGAAAAAGAATATGTTCATTAAGAACAATTCTACCATTACAGAAATATATTTCAGAGAGTAAATCTCCCATAATCCTGCAGAGATAATCGCTGTCCTCAGGTTCATATTTCATCATTTTCTTTTTCACATATATATAAATACATTATCATTACTGTCATTCACAAAGTAGAAGTTACCTTATTTTTTCTCTTAGCAAAATAATAATTATTTTTTTTAAATATTTTTGCCATAAGGCATGTGCACTTGCCAAGAAAAGAGGGAAAGTGAGAAACTACGCTCCAGGGGGAATTGCTACACCGCAATCTTCTCTCCTCCATTCTCTTCTTAGGCTTTTGGGCACGCCCACACATGTGCCTGGTGTGATTTTCAAGCCACTGGGTCCAAGAATTGAACCACAGTAGGCCTTGTGGGAAGCCAACACAATAACCACCACTCCAGCTACTGGCCCCCAGCAACATAAATTTTGAACCTCTTTTCCTTTCAGTAGCTGCATATTTCATTATTTGGCCAGATCATAATTTTATTAAATTATTACCCTATTACAGACATGTTACTTGTGTCTCAAAGTTTTCTTTTTTACCCTAGCAAATTGTATTGTAATAAATATAACATATGTGTGTATCTTGGGCAGATTTTTTTTTTTTTTAGTGTAACTTTCCAGAAGTAGAAATGTTGGTAAAAGCTAGGTCAAAAGATTCAGATATTTATCATCATAAAAGATTATTAAACTACTCTCCAAAGATATTCTGTGTTTTTATGTATACATATATATACATCCATGAGTTGTGTATAACTACCTGTATTGCATGGATAAGGGTAGCAGGACACAGGGTTATAAAGCTAGATCAGAATATCCTCATCATGGAGAGCATTACATGCCAGGGAGAATTATTGTAATCATATTGTCCAGATAATAGAAGACATGGATATTGCATTACCATAGGATATGGTCATAATTTAAGAAGATTGAGCTGGTGATAGTGTGTAGGATGGATTGGAAGAATCCGAATTTAGAATTAGAAAAGATATCATTGCCTAGAAATGAAGATACTAGGCTCTAACCCGTGACATGCAAAGCAGTTAGAAAAGGAAGATGTGGATGATTAATGTATTTAGTGTCTTTTACCTGTACACTAAAACTTTTACCTATTCTGTAAATGGTTTTTCTCAAATTTTCCCCTTCAAAAAGGAATAAAATATATTTCTAAGGTATTAACCCATGAAAAAAAAATCCTTTATATTTAGGTGCTCCAAATACCGCAGAACTAAGGATTTGTCGTGTAAACAAGAATTGTGGGAGTGTCAGAGGAGGAGATGAAATATTTCTACTTTGTGACAAAGTTCAGAAAGGTATTTATGTGTTCTCTTTGTTCCATTGGATACAGGATCTATTTTAAATTAATAGATTAATTTTACTTTGTTTTTCTGTTTCTGTTATTTCTTTGTTCTTCACTAGATGACATAGAAGTTCGTTTTGTGTTAAATGATTGGGAAGCAAAAGGTATCTTTTCACAAGCTGATGTGCACCGTCAAGTAGCCATTGTTTTCAAGACTCCACCATATTGCAAAGCTATCACTGAACCAGTAACAGTAAAAATGCAGCTCCGGAGACCCTCTGACCAGGAAGTTAGTGAATCTATGGATTTTAGGTATCTGCCAGATGAAAAAGGTAAGGCACTTTGGTAGTAAAGATTAATGTATTTCTTGAAGTCAGCCCTGCTAGCATTTTCTTGTAAGGTACATTTGAATATAGTAGTATATTCTTAATATGTTTCCTTTCCTAGAGTTTTTTTCTTTCTTTCTTTACTTATTTTATTATTTTTTTTTTTGAGAGGTTTTCGCTATAGGGTACGTGCCCTCACCAGACAGACAGAGACATAGAGACAGAAAGCGAGAAATCACCCCCCCAGAGGGGATGGTCACGCCGCAATCCCTTCTCCTCCATTCTCCTCTCGGGATCCTGGGCACGCATGCACACACGCCCAGCGTGAGTTTTAAGCCACCAGGTCCGGACGCGAACTGCGGTTGACTACGTGGGAGTCCAGCAACATAGCCATTACACTAACTGCTGGTTCCCGAGTTTTTTTTCTTTATTTCAGAGTATGTAAACTATCAATTTATTTTTCTTTATTTTTCTTTTTTTTATTATTTATTGGGGCCAGCAGATGGCATAATGGCTATGTCGCTGGGCTTCCATGTAGTCAACCGTGGTTTGAGTCCCAGACCCGATGGCTTAAACTCACACCAGGCGCATATGCGTTTGTGCCCAAGATCCCGAGAGGAGAAGGGATTGTGGCTTGGCCATCCCCCCTGGAGGGGTGGTTTCTTGCTTTTTTTCTCTCTGTCTCTCCCTGTCTTTCTAGCAAGCACATGCGCCCTATAGCAAAAACCTCCCCCCCCCAAAAAAAGAATTATTTATTTACTTAATTTCATTTGTTATTACTTTTAAAAATTTGATCAGAGAGAGAGAGGAAGAGAAAAGTAAGCTGCCAGGTCTGGGACTTGAACCACAATCGGTCATGTGGAAGTTCCCAGTACCTTAACCACCAATCCACCTAATGGCCTCTAACATTTGTTTTATCTTGAGGGTCCTTTTTTTTTTTCTTTATTGCTCCTTTTTTATAGATGCAAAATGTGCCACTTAGAGAGTGGTCTCTATTTTGGTTTTTACCTTATTAGACCTTACTGCATTTAGTTGACATTTTTGACTTATAGGTTTTATAAGGAAAAAACACGATGAATATTAAGCATTGACTGTATATAAGTAAAGCAGCTGTTTGTTATTAGTGGAGAGGACGCATAGCCCTCTGATGGCTCATCTGCCTTCCTGCTTTCTTTCTAATCAGATACTTATGGCAATAAATCAAAGAAACAAAAAACAACTCTACTTTTCCAGAAACTGTTGCAGGATTGTGGTAAGAATATTTTGTATTGATTCATATTAAAATAGATTTTGTTTTATTTGCTTTATTTTGTTTTTCAAATTTTAACTGTTTTGTCAAATTACATTTAATCATGGAAAACCTTTTATCATAACAGTTAATTTCCCTGAGAGATCAAGACCTGATTCCCTAGGATCTATTGGTGAAGGAAGATTCATCAAAAAAGGTATTTTATCAAAACCTTTAGAATATTCCTTGTGATCATGGGGGCAGGCAGGTGGTGTAGAGGTTAAGGGTGCTGGACTTCCACATAGTCGACCAAAGTTCAAGTCCCAGACCTGGTGGCTTACTCTCTCACTTTCTCTCTCTTTCTCTCTGTCCCTCTCTGGTCAAATTAAAATAAATAAATAAAGTTAAATAGAATAATTCTTTTTTAAAAAAAGAATATTTCTTGTGATCAGAAAAAAATAGTGCTTTGTTTGCATAATATAGTGGGATTTCATTTTTAAGAAAAATTGCTTGATAGTTCCCTCTTCTATAAATTTTTAATTTGTTAAAGAATTATTTTATTTAACTTCCTTCTTTCATTTATTTATTTATTTAAATTTGACCAGAGAGAGAGAGAATGAGAGAGGAAGTGAGAAAGCAAGCTGCCAGGTCTTGGACTCAAACCATGATTGGCCATGTTGGAGTCCAGTGCCCTTAACTACCATGCCACTTGCTGGCTCCGTCCCTCTCCTATAAATTTTTTTATGCTTTAAGTATTGGATGAATTGAGCTCAGTTTTTGAAAGTTGTGTTGGAAATGGACTATTTTGAGAGTTTATTTTTTAAGAAATTACATTTTGGGGGCAGCAGATGGTGTACCGATTATATGGCTGGACTCCCACAAGGCCAACCACAGTTCCAGTCCTGGACCCAGTGGCTTGAAACTCAGGCTGAGGTGCATGTGTGTGTGTACCCAAGATCCTGAGAGGAGAATGAAGGAGAAGGGATTGTGGTGTGGCCCATCTCCCACAGGGTGATTTTTCACTTTCCCTCTCACTGTCTCTCTCTCTCCAGCA